TTGTACCATTGGGCAGACTACATTATCTCTCGTTATGCCGCCATGAACATGACGGGAAGCGCTAAAACCTGGTTGAATTTACACAAAGCTAGTTTCACGAGCTGGGAAAATATTAAAATCCGACTCATTCAGGATTTTTCTTTGGACGCGAATAAAGAAGAACTTAGAATGAAGCTCAACAGAATGCAACACTGGAATGAACCAGCAATCAGGTTCGCGGAAGACATTCTAGTGTTGTGCAACAAGGTTGACCCCGCAATGGAAGAAGAAACAAAAATTGAACATGTTATTGGAGGACTGAAAAAAGAGTACTCATTCGCGCTCTACCTGAACCCTCCTAAAACGACCGATGACCTTCTTGTCGTGTGCAAGAAAATGGATTATTTTGAAAAGAAGTATCGGGAACGTGTGGAGAAATCCAGAAACCTATATAACGGTCCACGCTATTCTAGACCCCAACAACAATCAAGGTACGTGCCGCCGACTGCCGCACGAAACTACCAGACCACGTCCAGGCCCCAAGCCCCTGTTTCCAATAATTACAAGAACGACTCCCCTCCTACCCCCAGACAGTATCGAAACAACTTTCCCCAGCCCTCTACCCCTAGACGTCCTTATAATCCTAACTTTGTGCCGAAACCAAACCTTCAGAGAAACACTTACAATAAAAGCCAAGAAGTGAGCAAAAATAGGACGGAAGATGGAAGACCAATCTGCTTTAAATGTAACAAGCCAGGGCACGTGGCCCGTTATTGTAGGGTCAAGTTTATAAGAATCCTAGAAGAGGATCCAGCAAATACCCAAGAGAAGGTCGAAGAAAAATGCCAAATGAATGAAACATCAGAGAAATCAGGACCTCGGCTTTATGCTGATGTATGTCATAGCACGCAGACAAATATTCCTACCCGGAATAGATATTCCGTGTTGGAAGATTTAAACTAAGCGTCGCGCCTGAATCTGTCAATCAAAGCAAGTCGACCATAAACGGAATCAAGAAGTTGGACCCTAAATACAAATTAAAAATTAATGTGGACAAGATAGGGACTTTTGAAGCTTTGGTTGATACAGGTGCTGACCTCTCAGTGGTCGACCTCAGAACGGCCCTCGATACAGGCCATGGTATAAGTAAACTCGCAAAAATTTGTGCAGGACCCGATGGAAAAAAATTGGACATGGTAGGAAGTATATTTTTAAATATAAAAATTGATGACGAAACATTATCACACAACTTTGTGATATTGAAAACGCATTTACGGACATTAATTCTTGGGAGAGATTTCCTTAAGAAAATGAACGCAAAAATAGATTGTAAGCAAGAAACTATAAAATATGATTTGACGAATAATCATGACGAAATCAATTTTGAAATGTTGAAAATAAAGAGTGCCAAGGATTCCATTGTGCCGGAATGTTCCATGAAATTGATCAAGGCATTGGTAGAAACAGAGGATGGAGAATATATTATCGAAGAGAGCAGCAAAATGTTTCAAACAAATGGACTTCGTCTAGCAAGAAGCTTGATCAATGTTATAAATAGGGAAACACACATCTGGATAACTAATCCGTATCCTCGACCGTTAAAAATAATGAAAAACCAAACATTGGCTTTTGGAAGTAGTCCAGCGAAAATAAATGTGAGTCGAGAAAGAGAGGTAGAAAAGAACGAAGAACCTAGATTCCAAATAAACGAAAATCTTTCACCAAAGGAACAGAAGGAGTTAAAACAAGTTTTAGAAAGGTATGGAGATCTTTTTTCATCGAGATTAGGGAGAACCAATTTGGCAAAACATCGGATAGACACAGAAGACGCGAAGCCAATTAAACACAAGCCTTACCGGGTAAGTGCTAAAGAACGAGATATTATAAAAGAGCAAATTGACGAGATGCTTACAGAAGGCATAATTAGGCCATCTTCTAGCCCCTGGTCTTTTCCAGTAATATTGGTCAAGAAGCGAGATGGTAAATACAGATTTTGTGTGGACTACAGAAAACTGAATAATGTGACGGTAAAAGATGTCTATCCGATCCCTAGAATAGACGAAGTTATGGATACTCTCCAAGGATCTACACACTTCTCAGCAATAGACCTCAGATCTGGATATTGGCAAGTTGAAGTCGAAGAAAGAGACAAAGAGAAAACAGCTTTCACTACAGCGCATGGATTATATGAATTCAACGTGATGCCTTTTGGACTTTGTAACGCGCCTGCTACCTTTGAGAGAAATATGGAGAATATGCTTGGAAATCTGAGATGGCAAATTTGTTTGTGTTATCTGGATGATGTTATCATATATAGCCCGGATTTTCCAACGCACCTCAAAAGACTTGAAGCTGTTTTTAGATGTTTTCGTGAATCTAATTTAAGGTTAAACGACAAAAAATGCCGATTTGCTTTTGAAGAATTGGAGATTCTCGGCTATATAACGAGCAAACATGGTATAAAACCCGCGGAACATAACATCAAAGCTGTCAGAAATTTTCCTCGGCCCAAAAAGGTCAAAGAAGTACAATCCTTTTTGGGAATGTGTTCATATTATAGAAAATTTATCAAAGACTTTTCAAAAATTGCTGACCCTTTGACCAACCTTATAAAAAAAAGTGTATCATTTACCTGGACAGAAAGACAAGAGGAAGCGTTTCAAACCCTAAAAACAGCACTATTAAGTCCACCAATTTTAGGTCACTTCAATCCAAATGCACCTACTTATGTTCATACTGATGCGTCCAACATCGGCATAGGTGCAACACTTGTCCAAGACATCGGTGGTGAAGAGAAGGTGATCTCATATTTGAGTCGTACCCTAAGTAAAGCGGAGCAAAATTATTCAACCACTGAAAAAGAATGTCTGGCCGTTGTCTGGTCAATGTCAAAATTACGACCCTACCTTTATGGAAGACACTTTAAAATAGTAACAGACCATCACGCCTTATGCTGGCTCAAAAACTTGAAGGATCCAACAGGTCGATTGGCAAGATGGGCATTGAAAATTCAAGAATATGACTTCGATATAATACATAAATCGGGAAAGAAGCATCTGGACGCCGATGGCTTATCTAGGGGGCCCTTACCAGAAACTGATTGGGATGAGGATTTTGAAAGGCTATTTTTAAATCAAATAACAGACGAAGAGGATAAATTTATCGAAAGTGTTAAGAAAAACCTTAATGGAAGCAGGCGATCAATTGCGCAAAACTTTAAAGAAGAAGATGGATGCCTCTTTAAGAAAAACCCGAACCCTGAAGGCAGGGCGTGGTTGCTTGTGGTTCCAGAGAATAAAAAGAGAGAAATTATGAAAGAATATCACAATCATATGTCGAATGGCCATCTGGGCGTCGCCAGAACCATGTACCGAATAAAGAGTAAATACTTTTGGCCATCCATGCTAAAGGATGTCTCAGAATTCGTTAAGACGTGTCACCTTTGCCAAAGTAGGAAAGGCTCAAACCAATTACCTTCTGGACTACTACAGCCCATCCCCCCAGCCAACTTTCCTTTCGAAAGAATTGGAATTGACTTTGTTGGTCCACTACCATCTACGAAAAACAGGAAAAAATGGATAATCGTGCTGACGGACTACTACACTAGATATGCAGAAACAAGAGCAGTCTCGGAAGCAACAGTGAAAGAAGTTTCTAAATTTCTAGTAGAGGATATTTTTCTTCGGCACGGAGCCCCACAATATCTTATTAGTGACAGAGGCTCTCAATTTACCAGTAATTTAATGAAAGAGGTGATGAAAACGTGCAAGATTAAACATTGCTTCACAACGAGCTATCATCCCCAGACTAATGGATTGACAGAGCGGTTAAATAGAACATTGATCAATATGCTCAGTATGTATGTGAACACTGATCAGAAAAATTGGGACGAGATACTCCCATTCATCACTCACGCTTACAATACTACAATTCAGGAAACCACAGGATATTCTCCCTTTTTCCTGATGTTTGGAAGAGAACCCACGTCTCTTTTGGACGACAGGAATATCTCGGTGGACATTGACAAAGATGATTATGATGAATACATAAAACATCACTTAGACAAAATAAACAGAACAAGAAAATTAGTTATTAACAACACAATAAAGACTCAAGAAAGAATGAAAAAGAACTATGACAAGAAACACATGGAAAGAAGCTACGAACCAGGAGAATTAGTAGCAGTTTGGACACCAATTAGGAAAATAGGAAAGTGTGAGAAACTACTGAGAAAATATTTTGGCCCATATAGAATATTAAAGAAGCTGTCTAACGTAAATTACTTAATTGAGCCAAAAGATAATCCTGGCCAAGACCCATTGATTGTCCATGTCTCAAGACTCAAACCCTATTTTGAGAGAATTGATGAGGTAACTCACGAGGACGTGACGACCTCTGGAGAGGGGGAGGTGTTACATCATAATTAATGGCGTATTTCTTATATTATTTTTAATATATTTGAAATTTAAATTATATATTTATTTATTTTTATATAAAATATTCTATGATATTTATTTAAAACACAGATTATTTAGATTGTCATTATTTGTATTTAGGTACACGTGTGACTTCACTGCTCTCTTTGATGTGAAAAAATAAATAAAGTATTCTGGTGGCTACTTAAAGAAGACTTATCTCGTTATTCCCTTTTATAAATTTCTAGGATGGTTGAAACACGCTCTGGTAAGATGCAGGACCCAGCACAGGAGAGAATCCAGGCTGAAGAGTCTGCCAAGCCGCAACCTGGTGCAACAATATATATATATATATATATATATATATATATATATATATATAAAAGTCAATTTCTGTCTGTCTGTCTGTTTCGCGATAAACTCAAAAACTACTGAACCAATTGGTACCATATTTTGCATGTCGCTTTTTATAAACCTGTGGAAAATTTTCGGCTGCATTTTGATTAGTATTTTTGGCTATTTCTTTTTTTTTTTCATTTGAAGAACTTTTTTTTACGCGGACTAATCCGGAATGGAATGAATACCTAAATATGGCCATTTTTTTAAGCATCGGTGATTTCAGTGGTAGAATGCTCGCCTGCCACGCGGGCGGCCCGGGTTCGATTCCCGGCCGATGCATTTTTTTTTACAATTTTTAAAACTCTTTTATATTATCTTATTATATATATAAAATTGAATGTCTGTCTGTCTGTACTCTATAGATTCAAAAACCATACATCCAATCGCCGTGAAATTTTGGGATATTATTAGGTATATCACCGGGAAGGTTTTAGAAAAATAATTTCATGAATATCTTGAATATCCTTAGAGTTATTTGCAGATTTGTAGATTTAACTCGCAAGCAGCGCCCCCATTGTGACGATGTTAACAAGTTTTCTTATCACTAAGTTTGTTATCTTAAATATTATTTATCAAAAGTAAGATTATCTCAGGATGACACGGCAATTTATTTGCGACAAGAATAATGATACAATTCCAACGCGAAGATACTATTCCTTTAACTTCCAATTACCGAGGGAACCAATTAATATTAATTTTATTCAACTTATCGAGTATTTCTCAAGGGACCGGGAAAAAATGTTCACTAGATAAAACTATGATTTTCTAATGTAGAAAATTAGGAAAGACAAAATTCAGGATGACAAGGCACACAGGGACCGGGAAAAAATGTTCACTTTATCGAGAGATTCAAATTTACGAGTTTCAAATTATCAAAATATATCTTTTTTATTTTTTAATAAGTTTTTAGAGAATTGTTTTAACAAATGTTCGCTAGACAAACCTTTACTCGGGTAAAACCCCGGGCGAAGCCGAGTACGTTTTATAAGTTTAAAGAGAATTGTTTTAACAAATGTTCGTTAGACAAACATTCACTCGGGTAAAACCCGGGCGAAGCCGGGCGGGTCCGCTATTCTTAATAAATTACATTGCCAGATCCAAATCGAAATAGCTGATCAACTAGCAAGTAAATCGTTATATTTATCTGGAGAATAAATATTATCTTCATGTATATATATATTATTGTTTTGTCGATTAGAGTATGTATGTATATGTCAAACTCTGTCCTGTTTATGATTATAACATCATTTATTGATATCAAATTATACAAATATTAATAAT